ACATTTCTGATTACAACACCATAATTCTCTGTTATGATCATTCTGTGTTACATAAATTCTGCGGCTCACACTATACTATATTTGTGTACTTTGCTATTACAAGTATCACAACACATATATCCATCTTTCTTGGAGGCATTTCGAAGGTTAAATCTGCTCTGTGGATGGTGGCGTCATACAAAATGTTCCCACATTGAAGAGTCTGCAGTGTCCCAGATACAGACAGCCTTAGCAATGAGGGAGAGATCAAAAGGAACACCTACTCGGAGCAGACGGATACCAACGCTGCAAACAGCTACTGATGGTAACCCATGGCAACTCCTGATAACTGTGCATTCTGAAAAAAACAGCCACAGCAAGTGCCTTCGCAATCTAAACTAACAGTAGATTTTGTTTCCGACTACCCTGTGCGATACGGACGTCTTCCTGGCCGATGTAGACATCACAAGGTTGCCCTCGCAGCTCAGAACGGAACTGAAAACCAATCCAATCATTGAGATATAAAAGGAATTGGGCGGGAGGAATTAAATGGGATCCAAAATAGCAATCTTTGTGCTTCTTTAAATATCCAGTACTTCTCAAATGGAGCAAGAAAATGTGTTGCCTGAAAAAAACTCCTTGTTTGTCACTGCTTAGTAGGCTGAGACCTAGAAAAAAAAATATTTAGAGACCTAAAAGCCAAGAAAAATAATTTAAGCAACAGTAAATAAAGGGTATCTACAGGGTTTTTAAAATTAAATTCAAGACCTTTGCCCAAATAAAATCAATACAGTTTGTCCAAATAGAACAAATCAACACAATTTCAACATAAATGAATCAATTAAATTTTCTTTTACTTACTTAATTAAACACATTCAGCAAGTTACTGCAAGTTTAAAATACTCAAAACATATTCAGTATATACTGATGTACTGAAATTTGTTTATGTATCAATATATCAATACATACTGTATGAATTAGAGGTCAACCAATATTGAAGTTTGCTGATAAAGATAATAATGAAAGGTAATAAACAGATTATTGTGCTGACACTAGTAAAATCTATATCCACCAAATGTATTAAAAACGGTTATTGGTCTTTTCTTTCCTTTTAATTTCAAACAAGCCTGAAATAAACTAGGACTTTTGTTTTAAAATGTCTATGATTTACTACTGCCAGCCGCTCATTCAAAAAGATGACGAAAATAAAATATGCACTCTCATAGTCACAGTTTATCAAAAGTAGATCATAAGCAATCAAATGGCAAAAATGTATAGTATTCATTGATTTTGAACTGCTGTGGAACCACAAGCCTGTAGAATCAGCATCCGCAGTGCTGCGTTTGTACATGTAGCATTCACATTCAATTACGTCAAAGTCTTTTGAAGTTTCATATGCATCACAATTTCTGTTTTTTAATACCCCAAATTTAAAGGGGTCATATGACGTTGCTAAAAAGAACATTATGTTGTGTATTTGGTGTAATGAAATGTGTTTATGCGGTTTAAGGTTCAAAAAACATTATTTTCCACATAATGTACATTATTGTTGCTCCTCTATGCCCCGCCTTTCTGAAACGTGTCGATTTTTACAAAGCTCATCGTTCTGAAAAGCGAGGTGTATGCTGATTGGCCAGCTATCCAGTGCATTGTGATTGGCTGAATACCTCAAGCATAAACATAAAACCATGTGTGATCGGAGAAACGACAAACAACAAGCACTACTCTGAACTGCTCAAAACTCGCATTTGAATCGTTAGTGGCAAATTCTTTAAATACATAAAACGTACTTACAGGCTGTGAGTCAGAAGCGCCAGACTGTCCTTGCAAAGTTGGAACTGCCCCACTTTATAGAAACAGCCTTTGTGCAC